TGTTTCTTAATAATAAATCAAACTCCTGGCTACGTTTGTATCAATCTGCCAGATTGCCCCGGTAAATTGATGTAGGAAAGGCCAGGACATTAGTTTTATTCACAGGAGGAGCCTCTGCACTGCAGTTGATATGCCTTCAGTCTCTGACCGACTCCTGTACTACAACTGTAGTCTCTGACCGTAGTCCTATACTAACTGCAGTAACCTCTAGAAACCAATCAGTGAGCAGTAATGATGTGCTGTAATATCTAGCAACCAGTGAGTGTGGACCAGTTCTTTATGTTTAAATGGAGTTCTTTTAGATAATTCTATGTGTGGGTTTATTTGTTTTTTGGGATGTTGGGGTGGAGAGCAAAATTGCATGGGGGGAGCCCAAGATAATCTCAAACTCTGTTTATCCAAACCCCTTTTAAGCCATGCCCAATATTTAGCATAATTTAAACCACACCCATTTTTGGCGCCGCCATCTTCTTTTTCAGCTTAGACCACACCCATGAATGGATACCCCACCCCTAATTAATATACTGGTCCTTCTACACCAGGGATATAAAATTGGCGGCCCTCCAGCTGTTGGGAAACTACAAGTCCCATCATGCCTCTGCCTTTGGGAGTCATGCTTGTAACTCTCAATCTTCTAATGCCTCATGGGACTTGCAGTTTGGCAACAGTTGGAGGGCCAGCAGTTTGACACTCGTGGTCTACACTGTCTTTCTGGACGTGCAGGAAAAAAAGTGTCCCTAAAAATTTTTTTAAAATGTTGGCAACTATGAATGGTGATCCAGTTCCATGTTCCAGAGGGCCACATGGCCTCCCTGTCACATTCTGTTTTAAACTTGGACAGGAGGGGCGGCAGGGGCAGCATATACAGGAACCGACCCTCTCTATTTTCCTCCTGAGAACTGCTGTTCCTCCTCTCCCTCCTGCTGCATTCAGTGGTTTCAGGAGGAAAAGGCTCATTATGCTGTTCAAAATAAAACTATGAAGTTCTAAACCATTTCATTTCATTGTGGCCCACGTCCAGCTACCAAGTCACTTAAGTGGCCTTCGCTTTTCAAAAGCTTGAGTACCCCTGCTTTAGGCCCTTTGAAGGCATTGGAAGCCAACCACACACCCCTACAGAGTGTTCCGGACACAAACCCCAGCACAATCATTTAAAAAAAAAGAATAAAAAGCTTATATTACAAATGCAGAAACTGTGGAAGAGTGCATTACACAAAGTGTGGAAGGATTCAGGAATGTGTTATACACAGAGTGCAGATTCAGGAGTGTATTTCATACAGAGTTCAAGGTTCAGGAATGCGTTACGTACAGAGTGCAGGATTCAGGAATGCGTTACGTACAGAGTGCAGGATTCAGAAGTGCATTTCATAGAGTGCAAGGTTCAGAAATGCGTTACGTACAGAGTGCAGGATTCAGGAATGCGTTACGTGCAGAGTGCAAGGTTCAGAAATGCGTTACGTGCAGAGTGCAGGATTCAGGAATGCGTTACGTGCAGAGTGCAAGGTTCAGGAATGCGTTACGTGCAGAGTGCAAGGTTCAGGGATGCGTTACCTACAGAGTGCAAGGTTCAGGGATGCGTTACGTACAGAGTGCAAGGTTCAGGAATGCGTTACGTGCAGAGTGCAAGGTTCAGGGATGCGTTACGTACAGAGTGCAGGATTCAGGGATGCGTTACGTACAGAGTGCAAGGTTCAGGGATGCGTTACGTACAGAGTGCAAGGTTCAGGGATGCGTTACGTACAGAGTGCAAGGTTCAGGGATGCGTTACGTACAGAGTGCAAGGTTCAGGAATGCGTTACGTGCAGAGTGCAAGGTTCAGGGATGCGTTACGTACAGAGTGCAAGGTTCAGGGATGCGTTACGTACAGAGTGCAAGGTTCAGGAATGCGTTACGTGCAGAGTGCAAGGTTCAGGGATGCGTTACGTACAGAGTGCAGGATTCAGGGATGCGTTACGTACAGAGTGCAAGGTTCAGGGATGCGTTACGTGCAGAGTGCAAGGTTCAGGGATGCGTTACGTGCAGAGTGCAAGGTTCAGGGATGCGTTACGTGCAGAGTGCAAGGTTCAGGGATGCGTTACGTACAGAGTGCAAGGTTCAGAAATGCGTTACGTACAGAGTGCAGGATTCAGGAATGCGTTACGTGCAGAGTGCAAGGTTCAGAAATGCGTTACGTGCAGAGTGCAGGATTCAGGAATGCGTTACGTGCAGAGTGCAAGGTTCAGGAATGCGTTACGTGCAGAGTGCAAGGTTCAGGGATGCGTTATGTACAGAGTGCAAGGTTCAGGGATGCGTTACGTACAGAGTGCAAGGTTCAGGAATGCGTTACGTGCAGAGTGCAAGGTTCAGGGATGCGTTACGTGCAGAGTGTAAGGTTCAGGGATGCGTTACGTACAGAGTGCAAGGTTCAGGGATGCGTTACGTGCAGAGTGCAAGGTTCAGGAATGCGTTACGTGCAGAGTGCAAGGTTCAGGAATGCGTTACGTGCAGAGTGCAAGGTTCAGGGATGCGTTACGTACAGAGTGCAGGATTCAGAAGTGCATTTCATACAGAGTGCAGGATTCAGGAATGCGTTACGTGCAGAGTGCAGGATTCAGGAAAGCGTTACGTACAGAGTGCAGGATTCAGGGATGCGTTACGTACAGAGTGCAGGATTCAGGGATGCGTTACGTACAGAGTGCAAGGTTCAGGAATGCGTTACGTGCAGATTGCAAGGTTCAGGGATGCGTTACGTACAGAGTGCAAGGTACAGAAATGCGTTACGTACAGAGTGCAGGATTCAGAAGTGCATTTCATACAGAGTTCAAGGTTCAGGAATGCGTTACGTGCAGAGTGCAGGATTCAGGAATGCGTTTCGTGCAGAGTGCAGGATTCAGGAATGCGTTACGTACAGAGTGCAGGATTCAGGAATGCGTTACGTGCAGAGTGCAAGGTTCAGGAATGCGTTACGTGCAGAGTGCAGGATTCAGGAATGCGTTACGTGCAGAGTGCAAGGTTCAGGAATGCGTTACGTGCAGAGTGCAGGATTCAGGAATGCGTTACGTGCAGAGTGCAAGGTTCAGGAATGCGTTACGTGCAGAGTGCAAGGTTCAGAAATGCGTTACGTACAGAGTGCAGGATTCAGGAATGCGTTACGTGCAGAGTGCAAGGTTCAGGAATGCGTTACGTGCAGAGTGCAAGGTTCAGGAATGCGTTACGTACAGAGTGCAAGGTTCAGGGATGCGTTACATGCAGAGTGCAAGGTTCAGGGATGCATTACGTACAGAGTGCAGGATTCAGGGATGCGTTATGTACAGAGTGCAAGGTTCAGTAATGCGTTACGTGCAGAGTGCAAGGTTCAGGGATGCGTTACGTACAGAGTGCAAGGTTCAGGAACGCGTTACGAACAGAATGCAGAGTGAAAGGTTCAGGAATGCGTTATGTACAGAGTGCAGGATTCAGGGATGCATTATGTACAGAGTGCAAGGTTCAGGAACGCGTTACGTACAGAATGCAGAGTGCAAGGTTCAGGAATGCGTTACATACAGAGTGCAGGATTCAGGGATGCGTTATGTACAGAGTGCAGGATTCAGGGATGCGTTACGAAGGGAGTACAAGGTTCAGAAATGCGTTACGTAGAGAGTGCAGGATTCAGGGATACCTGAAGCGTTAGTCTGAGTATTTCAAAAACTGCTGATCTAGTGGGATTTTCACACAACCATTTCTAGGGTTTACAGAGAATAATCTGAAAAAGAGAAAATATCCAGTGAGCGGCAGTTGTGTGGATGAAAATGCCTTGTTGATGTCAGAGGTCAGAGGAGAATGGGCAGACTGATTCAAGATGATAGAAAGGCAACAGTAACTCATGTCAATATGGACCAAAATCTCTGAAGAATATTTCTAACACCTTCTAAGCCACGAAGAATGAAGGCAGTTCTGAAGTAAAAGGGGCTCCAACCCGATACTAGCAAGGTGGACCTAATAAAGTTGCGGGGGGGTGAGTGTATAAAATCATTTATAAAAGCCATGCTCCGTGACAGCCCCATACACAGACATGTTTATATCTTGGACTGTGGTATCAATCTTCGCAGCCAAGAGATATTGTAGCCAATTAAGATAAGGCTCTTTATGGTTCTTTTGATGGACTATTTGAACTCTGTGTTTCTTCGGCACCTTTGAAGCCAATGAGATGTTCTGCAACATAATGTTCCAGGATTGCTTTGAATGGTTTTTACCAGCAGTTATGATTTTAATCTTTGCACCGCCTTGCAAGCCTTTCCAGGACTTAAAGTGATTCTAAAGTCTTTTTTTTGTTTGTTTGTTTTATTGAAATAACAAGGTTTATACTTGTACAGAGTTGCCCCGATCCTCTTCTTCTGAGGTCCCCAACTGGTGCTCTTGGCTCTTCCTCTTTTCAGAAGTTGTTTCCTGTGGTGGCCACCCTACTGGCCACCCTACTGGGCTTGCTCCCGAGCCGAGCCATGTGTGTCTATAGACACACACAGTTCGGCTCGCCCCCACTTTGATTTGATTGACAGCAGCAGGAGCCAATCGGTCCTGCTGCTGGCTCTGTCTTATGAATGCAAGGAGAGAGCTGTTGCAGACAGGCACAGTTCTGGATCAAGTGAGGACACAGGTAAGTATTTAGGAGAGGGGGGTTGGGAGGGCAAACAAATGCTGGGGACTTTTTGTTACCTTAGTGCACGGAATGCATTAGGGTACAAATGTGTAGCTTTTATAAACCACTTTAAAGCCAATATCTACCCTATACAAAAAACAGGAAAAATTACAAAGAAGCCAAGTGCAGAGTTGGGCTTTAACACTGAACTCCAGACAAGTATAGAAGACCCAAATTGATGCAGCTCTGTTTTCTTTATTACTATATTATTTTTTTTTTTTAACCACTTCAAGTCTGGACCCTTTCACCCCCTTCCTGCCCAGACCAGTTTTCAGCTTTCAGTGCTATCACACTTTGAATGACAATTGCGCGGTCATGCAACACTGTACACATATGAATTTTTTAGCATTTTTTTTAGACAGATAAAACTTTATTTTGGTGGTATTTATTCACCACTGGGATTTTTTTTTGCTATATAAATGAAAATGTCCACAAATTTTGAAAAAAAAAGTGTTTTTCTCATAAAATTTTGCAAATAAATAATCTCTTCATAAATCTTGGCCAAAACGTATTCGGCTATCTTTTTAGTAAAAAAAAAAACCCAGATTAGTTTATAATCAAAAATTATAATTTTTAAAAAAAAGTTTACTTTTTTTGTATTATTATTTGTTTTTTTTTAACATAGCAGTATAGTGTCACCATAGTGACACTGTACTACTTGTGGAGGCTGATGAAGATTTTTTTTTCTTTTTTCTTACACTGATTATTTTTACACCCATAAAGGCTGTAAAAGCAATAATTTCTATTTCTCTCTGGCTGCATTCTTGCAGCCATTGAGAAATACTGTGAGAGCTGTGATTGGTCACAGCTTGTCACATGGTACAATGCTGTTGTGAATAGCCCTGTACCATGTGACCTCAGTGATCATTCACAGATTTCACAAGTAGTAAGCAATGATGTCAGGAAGTGACATCTTGTTTACTACTATTCATGTGATCACTGATTGGCCGATCAGTGATCACATGAATGGGGACCTCACACAGAGGTCCTGTACAGCGATCGCTGTTCTGCTGTGTCCCAGGGAGGCAGTGAGGCAGTAAATGCGGGTGACATTTAGAAACGTCAACCCGCTTCTTCAGATTTTTTTTTAACATATAAAAAAGTCATTTTAACACATATTTTTACATATATTTGTAAATTCATTCCAAAAATGTAGATTTGTATTTTTAAAGAAATACAGTATATTTGAAATGTATTTTTAAAAATATTTTTCATATATTTTGTAATAAAACCCCATTTCAACATTCAGTATATATATATATATAAATATATATTTATAGAAATATATTTTGGAATATATTGAATATGGCCAAAATTGTAGTATTTCAAATATATGACAATATATTTGGGAAGAAAATTTTTAAAACATATTTCAAATATATTTTTCTTCCATGTGGGCAAGGTTGGGTGACTTTGGAATGCAACTTTGGATGGGTGCAACTTGGATGCGACTTTGGCTTTGACCAATGATAATGGCCAACCGCTGAATGTAAAACAGTCAGGTGCGACTTTTATGTGATTTGAGGGTTTACATTGCAGTCTATGGCACTCAAGTCGCATGAAAGTCAGACCAACGTAGTGCAGGAACCTTTTTAAAGTCGCTATGACTTTAAGGGCTCGTTCACACTAGGCTGTTTTGCCAACGCTTGCCAAATGCCCCTATAGCTTTTGGCAAGCGTTGGTCCGGCGTTTGCGGAGCGTTATTAACGCTCGGCAAACGCTCCGCAAACGCCGCATGCGCGGTTTAGCGGCGGTTGCTAGGCGTTTGCCGAGCGTTAATAACGCCCCACAAATGCCTATAATGCAGTTTGAGTGGTGTTACCGCTCCGCAACGCCCCGCAACCGCGTCGCAACCGCACCGCAAACGCCGGCCGGGCGTTTGCGGAGCGGCACCATAGACGAGAATAGGAGGCTTCAAAGCCTCCTGACTCGTCCAGAGGCGTCCGTTCTGCCGCGACGCGACGCGGCGCAAACGCTCCCGTTAGAACAGCACCATGTGCTGTAATGTGCAGAATTGGCAGAGGCGTTTGGGAAGCGGTAAAAACGCTTACCAAACGCCTCTCTGCCGCCTGCACACAAGGCTAGTGTGAACGTAGCCTAAGTCACACATATTTGAATGTTGAAAAGCATGGGGTACGAATTGTCATATAACTTTAGTGTCCAAAGCCACATGACATGAAAGGAGCCTTATTATTGGACCCTCCAAGTTACTTTACAAGTCACAATGAATACATTCCTGACATAGCAGAATATACAGAAACAACATAATTTATCGAATTATTTCTCGCATTAAAAATCAGTCGTGTGACATTGCCTTGGCTGAGGTTGCCTTCAAGTGTATCTAAACCCAAAAGGAAAAATTGTATATATTGCAGCTTCCCAATCATTAGATGTGGTGGCTGCATTAGTTTTCTTTTTTTAGGCTTTTCCTCTCTTTTTTCACCTGGTTAGCTGGCCAGTAACACACCTCCTGTATTAGAGCGCCCCCACTCTGGATGAAGGAGCACAGGGGGCACCTTTGGACAGCAGCATTGTCAGACTGCGGGGAGGGGAATGTTAGATGGACTAGCAGATTTAGATACACTAACAAACTGAAGCCAAACTCAAGCCAATGCATTATAAACAGTTACAGCAAACAGTGTTTTTCCTTTTGGGATAAAGGTTTTACATAAATAAATAAAAGCTGAAAATTGTATGCACCCCCGTCAGTGTTAAATGGTTTATCTCATCCCTGTAAATGCTACATCTGCAAGAGAGCTTGTTCTTTTGAAAAACATCAGACTTACTGGGCAGATCACTGGATGAAAATAAAAGAAAGAAAGCCTACAAAAGAAAACTAATGCAGATATCACATCTAAGAGCTGCAATATAATAAATGTTTCCTTTTGGGGTTACTGCATCCATCCTGCGTAAGAAAGTTATATATTTACCTATTTTCAGGAAGCTCTGGTCATGTCATCCCCTGTGTCAGCCAGCAGCAGCTGCAGGGGAAAGCGCTCTGAAAAATGGTTGGGTGCATTTTGGTTGGCTTTGTATTTAACAACCTTCTCCTACTACAAAAAAAAAAAAAAAACGCATAAAGTATGAAAACGCATCAAAAACATGCAAAAAATATGCCATAAAGAGCGCATCAACTACATATGCACAGATGAGAACCTGGCCTTAAAGTGGTTGTAAACCTCAGACATGAAATATGAGCAAAGCATATCCCTCTATAGTGTGTACTTGTATCAGTCAAGAGCACTAAGTGTCACTTCTGTCTGCTGCTTCTTTCCTCTGCTAACAGCACAAGTCACTGCTGACAAGTTTTCCTGACACCAAGAGAAAAATGGTGACGGGGAGAGACCTCCAGCTGATTGACAGCCTCAGCTCTGATCCTATAAATTGTGTGGAGGGGCGTCTCTCTTCCTTCTAATCAGCTCTCAGAGCTCTCCTCACTGAGCTCTGTATTGTGTAGTTTCAGCTCTCCGCTCCCTTTTTACTGAACTCTCAGACAAGCTTTATAATTCAGCACTTTGAATGGATGTAGAGAAGAGAGGACTGCAAATAAACAGGTACAACTTATGTAGGAGGATTTGTTTCATCCCTGTGCATCACCTGAGGCCAGTCACTTCCCTAGGTGTATGGAAGGGTTTACAACCATTTTAGGCTAGGTTCACACCTGCGCAGGTTGCGTTTGATCCGTTTCTGCATTGCATTTTGCATTTAAAGCGGAGCTCCACCCAAAAGGGGAAGTTCCGCTTTAACCACTTCCAGTCCGGACACTTTTACCCCATTCCTGACCAGGGCAATTTTCAGCATTCAGTGCTATCACACTTTGAATGACAATTGCGCGGTCATGTAACACTGTACCCATATGAATTTTTTACCATTTTTTTGAGACAGATAAAGCTTTATTTTGGTGGTATTTACTCACCGCCGGGAATATTTATTTTTTTTGCTATGTAAATACAAATGTCCAAAAATTTTGAAAAAAAGTGTTTTTCTTATAAAATTTTGCAAATAAATAATCTTTCATCATAAATCTTGGCCAAAATGTATTCCGTTATATTTTTAGTAAAAACAAAATAAGCCAAATTAGTTTATAACCAAAAATTATAATTTTTAAACATTTGTTTTACATTTTTATTTTTTTTTTTTATATTATTATTTATGGGTTTGTTTTTTTTTACATACTGTCACCCTAGCAGTACAGTGTCACCATTTTTTTTTTTTTTTACAGTGATTGCTTTTACACCCATATAGGATGTAAAAGCAATAATTTCTCTTTCTCTCTGTCTGCATTCTTGCAGCCATTGAGAAATACAGAGTGAGCTGTGATTGGTCACACCTTGTCTCATGGTACAAGGCTGTTGTGAATAGCCTTGTACCATGTGACCTCTGTGATCATTCTCAGATTTCACACGTAGTAAGCAATGATGTCACAAGTGACATCATTACTTACTACTTTGCATGTGATCACTGATTGGCCAATCAGTGATCACATGAGCAGGACCTCGTACAGAGGTCCCGTCCGACGATCGGTGTTCCACTGTGGTTAAAGATTGGTCCCCCGCTCCCCATTAAGGATTGGCACCTTTGGGGGGGGGGGGTACCCAAATTTGACAGGTACCCGCTCCCACTTGTAGTGCGATCAGAAACGGAAGTTGTCCTCCCCTCCCTCCCCGAAGTCTTGTGGGACACGTGACAGGTCCCAGAAGACTACATTCATGAAGTGCAGCACTACTTGAGCATGCGCAGTGGGTACCCGGCTGTGAAGCCGCAAGCTGTCACAGCCGGGTGCCCACATTGAAGATGCCGGTGCCTGGAATACAGGACGGCTGGTGAAACAGACTGCGGCGGGGGCAACGCGGGACCGAGGGACAGGTAAATGGCTGTTTTTTAAAAGTCAGCAGCTACAGTTTTTGTAGCTGCTGACTTTAATTTTTTTTACAGAGTGAGTGGAACTCCGCTTGAGGTTTTTGATGTGTTTTGCGTTTTTTTTTTCTAATTTTTCTTGTTGCTAGGCAGATTTAAAATGCAAAACACATCAAAAACGCTGCAGAAACACACTACATGCTTTCTGCAGCGTTTCCATTGAAGTCTATAGAGCCAAAAAAGCAACTTTTTGCGTTCAAAAAAGTCCCTGACCCTTTCCAAAAAACGCACTGGGTGAAAACGCAGCGATGTGAACCTGTCCCATAGGAAATCATGTTAAATGGACTGTAGTGCATTTCTGCAAAATGCTGCGGCAAACACTTAGGTGTGATCTAAGGGTAAAGGTAGCCCCTTCATTGCATGACCGTGGTTCTTCCAGGGCTGACCAACACTATACAATCTGATTGTACAATCTACCATCAATTATGTAGTACAAGGGCCTGTCTGATTTGGTACTAATTGAAAGGATTGT